GGTTTGGCCCTTTCAGAATGTGGTTTTAATCAAGGTGGCTCATTAATCACCCTGTGGGGTGTTTGGCTTTGGTTCTCTCGGGGGCACAGATGGGGAGCAGGTGTGGAAAGTTTTGTACAGGCTGGCACAGCGACTTCCCCTGCCAGATCCCCCTCGCCCTGCAGAGATGGGCACGTGATCCCAGCGTTGGCACTCCGCCGCTCCTCTGGCATTCTCCTGGAGTCAACCCGCCCCTGCTCCCATTGCGGCTCCTTCTTTGGATCCCAAAGCACCGCACGTGGCCCTCAGGAAGAACTGCTCGGGGCTGGGGAGGAGGAAACTGACATGGCAAGGTGGCAAGCCTGCCCCGAGATGCCCAGCCTGGCACGGAGCGCTCCTTTCTCCAGAGCCGTGGCAGCTTGCCACCCAGCTCGGTTCTGCTGCCAGGCGGGCGTGGCAGAGATGGCCCTGGGATGGATGTGCATTACTTCCTGCAGGGTGCTAGGGTTGCCAGCCTCCAGGTGGGGCCTTGAGATCTCCTGCTTTGACAACTGGTCTCCAGCTGACAGAGATCAGCCCCCCTGGAGAAAATGGCTGCCTTGGAGGGTGGACTCTGGGGCATCGTACCATGCACAGGCCCCTCCCCTCCCCAAACCCCGCCCTCTCCCGGATCCACCCCCAAAGTCTCCAGGTATTTCCCGACCCAGACCTGGCAACCCGAAGTGTGTTCACAATGATCTCTGAAGCTTTGACCGGACTGCTCGATCTCCTGAAATAAAGCCACAGGAGGCTGAACGGCTGCAGCTTCTCAGTGTCTCTGGAAGGGAAAGAAAGCCCCCAGGGATCCCCTCTTTGCTCTGGCAGGCTTCCTCAGCGAGTCATCAATATAAATGTACAATCCCATTAACAAGGCAAGACTCATGCAATGCATATCCCAAATTTAGAATCCAGTGGCACCTTTAAGACCCACAAAGCTTTATTCAAGGCAGGGGTCATTTCCTGCAGGAGTGAACAGGAGTGGAGCTCTGGCAGTTAAAGAGCCCAGGGGGCGGGCACATGCAACAAGCCCCACCCCCTGCTCCCAGAGCAAGAAGCAGCCAGGTAAGTTGCAGAGCCCCCCCCCCCAGCCCTGGTCCAAAACAGTCTAGTGGCACCTTTAAGACCAGGTTTTATTCAAGTACAAGCTCTCCCTCCTCTGTGAGGGCAGATCTGCACGTCCCCCCTCCCCCAAATAGCTAGGAATCCAAAAGAGTCCAGTGGAGCCTGAGCGGTGGGTGTTGCCTTCTGACACACTTCCGGTGACGTCAGGGGGTGTGGCATATGCAAATAAGTTATGCTAATGAGTTATGCTAATGAGCTCCTGCACCTCTTTTTCGTGCATGCACACGAAAGCTTATACCTTGAATAAAATTTCGTGGGTCTTAAAGGTGCCTGACTGGACTCTACATGTGTTCTACTGCTTCAGACCAACACAACTGACCACCTGGATCTATCTTAATGTATATTCTAGTCACACTCAATGTCCTCTCTAAGCTGTGGAGTCCTGTGAGCAAAAATTCTACTTTGTGAGCTGCTGGCTTTAACGTTGTGAGCCGGTGATTTGGCCGCTGCATAAATTAGTCTGCTCTGGAGCCCTCCTTCCTGAGCGGAGGCAAAAAATGTGTGAGCTGGAGGCTAAAAGAACGGTGAGCTATCTCACACTAACTCAGCTTAGAGGGAACACCGGTCACACTATAATGGGAACCACAATAAGTCTCATATACATTTAGTAGTCCAATAGTCTTATCTTCAGAGAAGAGAAGAAGTAAAGTGCCATCAAGTGCCATCAATACAGTGCTTCTTTAAAGAGCGTGTTATCATTTTTGGTTGCAAGATGCAAGCTTTAAAGTGCTCCTGTAGGGAAGATACATAAATTGTTTATGTTTCTTGCTTCCAAGTAATCACCTGCTTCCAAGCAGTTATAGCCAAATATTTTCAAAGAGTAGAAAGCAATAGCCCATCAATGGGATTTGCTAGCCTAAATACCACAGTTTCACCAAGGCTTCTTCATGGATGGACAATCACCACGCACTAGAAAATAAAATATTTCATAAGGTTCTATAGCAGAAAAGCAATCACATTATTAAAAACCTACCAAACGATATCTAGGCACTCACCAACAGGAGACCATCTTTACGTTACACATTCATATCTTCGTAAAGGCTTCCATATACATTAAATTGATGAGAACAGCATGCCTAAGGTATTTTTTAAAACTATTTTCCCTCCTTAGTATTGAAACAGAACTAAAATTAGGATTAAAGTTAGCTACACCTGAGTGGTTTGAGCAGCTCCAACACTGAGAAGTTACACAATGTTGGTACCTAAATGTATTTTTTAACTATCTGCCCTCCTGACTATTGGGACAGAACTAACATTAGGAGTAAAATTAGCTACACCTGAGTGGTTTGAGCAGCTATGACCAGGGGTCATTTCCTGCAGGAGTGCACAGGAGTGGAGCTCCGGCAGTAAAGAGTCCAGGGGGTGGGCATATGCAATAAGCCCCACCCCCTGCTCCCAGCAGCCCTCAGAGCAAGAAGCAGCCAGGTAAGTTGCAGAACTCCCCCCGGTCCCTCGATCCAAAACAGTCCACCTTTAAGACCAAGTTTTATTCAGGTACAAGTTTTCCCTCCTCTGCAAGGACAGATCTGCACGTCCCCCCCCCCAATAGCTAGCAATCCAAAACAGTCCAGTGGCGCCTGAGCGGTGGGTGTTGCCTTCGGACACACTTCCAGTGATGTCAGGGGGTGTGGTATATGCAAATAAGTTATGCTAATGAGTTATGCTAATGAGCTCCTGCACCTCTTTTTCTATGAAATGACCCCTGGCTATGACCAAACTAAAATTAGAACTAGACCAGAAAATTGGCACAGAACTAAAACTGAACTAAAATTGGTTACACCTGAGCAGTTTGAGTAGCTATAACACTGAGAAGTTATGCAATGTTGGTACCTAAAGGTATCTGCCCTTCTTACTATTTTAACCCCTTTCACTTACCTTATCTTGAGAGAATTTTATATTAAAACTTTTATCTATCTATCATCTATCTATCTATATCTATCTATCATCTATCTATCTATCTATCTATCTATCTATCTATCTATCTATCTATCTATCTATCTATCATCTATCTATCCTATCTATCTATCTATCATCTGTCTATCTAATTTCCTTATATATAATTGTATTTTGGTGGTGGCACTTTGTGAGCATTCCACACGCTCCCATATCAGTAGACTCCCTGATCTGTCACTCAGAAGGTGTCCCTATCCACTGGCTGCGTTGCCTGAGTCCCGCCTCCAACATTCTAAACAGTTTGCTGTTCCTCTCCCCCCCACCATAGCTCGTCGGAGCACAGAGGTCGTTTGCATATGCGGCCTGATTGGCCTTTGCCTCTAACATTCTAAACAGTTTGCTGTTGCTGTTGGGAATCACTGAATGTGTCCTGAGGTAAAATACATATCCCAATCTTCCCTTAAACAGTCACTGGAGTTGCCAGTCTTCCTGTGGGGCCTGGAGATCTCCGAGAAATCACCATGTTCCCAAGTCACAGTACATCATTTCCCCTACAGAAAATTTCCCAGTTATTACAACTCATCTCCAGATGACCAAGATCAGTTCTCCTGGAGACAATGGCTACTTTGGGCAGTGGATTCTATGGCATTATACCCTGCTGAGGCAAATGACGTCCTCTTCATGTGAAAATGAAATTTGCTTTTCTGTTCCTGCTTACGGTAGTGCAAAACTGCACGGCACACGGCAGCAGACTTGCCCACGGGCCCTGATGCTCCGCCAGACAGGAAGTCAAAACGGTTCCTTCACTGCTTTGCTGTTCTGTAATCTTTTACATAGGGTTGCCAAACTCCAGGTAGTGTCTGGAGATCTCCAGGGACTACAACCCATCTCTGGGCAACAGTGGTCAGTTCACCTGGTGAAAATGGTTCTGTGCCAAGATTAATCTAGCAGCCACCAGTAAGTTCCTCAACAAAATCCAGTTTGGTGTAGTGGTTAAGTGCGCGGACTCTAATCTGGGAGAACCGGGTTTGATTCCCCACTCCTCCACTTGCATCTGGCTGGATGACCTTGGGACCTCCTCCTCCTCCTCCTCCTCCTCCTCTCCTTCTCCTTGTCCTTCTCCTTCTTCTCCTCCTCCTCCTCCTTCTTCTCCTCCTTCTTCTCCTTCTCCTCCTCCTTCTTCTCTCCTCCTTCTTCTCCTTCTCCTCCTCCTTCTCCTCCTCCTCCTCCTCCTTTTTCGTTTCCCAACATCTAGGGATGACCATACCTAACAACGCGCATTTATAACAGTGGCACCTTTAAGACCAACAAAGCTTTATTCAAGGTATGAGCTTTGTGAGTCTTAAAGGTTCCACTGGACTCTAAATTTGTTCTGCTGCTTCAGACCAACAAGGCTGGACACAGTTGCGATCATTTGAAACTTCTGCCCTCATCATCTCTCATGTTTCGATTCTACTTCCAAAATGGCTGGATTCCCCTTCAGGCGTCAGGCAGGCACGCAAATGTTTTACGAAGCTGGCAGTCCTGAGAATGAGACCGTCTCATCACATGTCTGTGTGGTTACCATACAAACCCAACGGGAATCCCGTTCCCCTCAAAGGCGCAAACATACAAAGGCACATCCATCCCTCACCTCCTTGGCACCTGGTCTGTTCATGTGGCCTTCTTTTTTCTTGGCAAGACCACCAGTCTTCACGTTAGCATTAACGGTGGAAGGGAGGGCCTGCGTGTGGTTGCAGTCCAAGCCTGGGTCCTTAGGTCAAGAAGCAAATCACCTTTTCCCAGGAAAGTGGCAGAGCTTGGAAAATGTCTGGGCACCAAGTCCAAAAGCAGGTTACCAGATAACTTGCCCTCTTTTGGGAAGTGTGCCGAAAGGAAGCAAGCCACACCACGCCCCTTATAAGGCCGTGCTCTTCGGACCCTCAAGATAGTCTATGCGTGTCTTGTCGAAGCATCTGGCATCCGAAATGGAGTCGCTGCCGGTCTGGTTGCTGTTCCTCCTTGTCTGTTGCGTCCTTCTCACCTTGGGGTGGAAGGGGGCTGCCACCAAAGGCCTCCTCCCTCCTGGGCCCACCCCCCTCCCCCTCCTGGGGAACTTCCTCCAACTGGACCGCAAGAACGTGATCAAGTCCCTCATGAAGGTGAGTCCCAGCCCCTTCCTCTGCGGCCTCTGGGCCTGCAAAACACCTCGCCAGCAAGCGAGGTCCTCCTGGGCCAAAGACAGGGTTGCCAACTTCAGACTGGGAAATTCCTGGAGATCTTTTTGGGAGGTGTGGAGCCAAGGGAATGAAGGAGGGACCTCGGTGGGGTGCAATGCCATAGCGCCCACCAATGCTCCCTCTAAGCTGTGGAATCTTGTGAGCAAAAATTCTACTTTGTGAGCTACTGGCATTAAAGTTGTGAGTGAGCAATTTGGTGAATGCATAAATTTAGGGGCGGGAAAGGACCGGCTGGATCTTAGGGAAAACTTTTCTACAGTCAGAGTTGTGCAACAGTTGGACCAGCTGCCTAGGCAGGTGGTGAGCTCCCCCTCCCTGGCAGTCTTCAAGCAGCAGCTGGACAAACACTTGTCTTGGATGTTCCAGGCTGATCCTGTATTGAGCAGGGGGATGGACTAGATGGCCTCTATATAGACCTTCCAACTCTGTGATTCTATGATTTGATTAGTCTCATTCTGGGAATTCTCCAGCCTCTACCTTGAGGTTGGCAACTGTAGTTGAAGGTAGCATTTTGCCTTCCAGAGCAGAAGCAGATGCCGGGGATGAAGCCACGCCTGTCATTCTTGTGTTTGCCTGGTCATCTATACAGTAAAGCAGGGTGGTCTTGAATTTAGCACCCTAAAGGTAAAGGTAAAGGTCTCCCTTGCTCGAAAGCCAGTCGAGTCCGACTCTAGGGTTGCGGTGCTCATCTCCGTTTCAAAGCCGAAGAGCCAGTGCTGTCCGAAGACGTTTCCGTGGTAATGTGGCCGCATGAATAAACACCGAGGCGCACGGAACGCTGTTACCTTCCCACTGAAGCGGTACCTATTTATCTGCTTGCAGTTTCTTGCTTTCAGACTGCTAGGTTGGCAGGAGCTGGAACTAGAGACAGGAGCTCACTCCGTCATGCGGCACTACTCGGGTCTCAAACTGCTGAACGACCGACCTTCCACAGCCTGCAGTTCCTTTTTAACCACTTGAGCCACCGCAGCTCCACTTTTGAGGGGCACTTAAAACAAACAAACAAACAAACAAACAAACAAAATCCATTAAGCATCAGTCTCACTTTTACAGCTTCCCTTCTGTAAGTATAAAAAGTGTGCTAAGTACAGTTGGCATTCATAACTGGAATTAAAAAAAACCTATTCCAGACAAAGAGGTTCAGTGTTTTCCAGCCCTGACCTAGATGGGCCAGGCTAGATAGATCTCGTCAGATCTGGGAAGCTAAGCAGGGTAGGCCCCGGTTGGTACTTGGATGGGAGACCACCAAGGAAGTCCAGGGTTGCTACGCAGAGGCAGGCGAGGGCAGACCACCTCTGTTTGTCTGTTGCCTTTAGCTAGATGGCCCAGGCTGACCTTGTCTCCTTGGATCTCGAAGAGCCAGTGCTGTCCGAAGACATTTCCGTGGTCATGTGGCCGGCATGACTAAACACCAAGGCGCACGGAACGCTGTGACCTTCCCACCGAAGCGGTACCTATTTATCTAATTGCAATGTCTTGCTTTCGAACTGCTAGGTTGGCAGGAGCTGGAACTAGAAATGGGAGCTCACTCCATCATGCGGCACCTGGGTCTCGAACTGCTGAACTACTGACCTTCCACAGCCTGCAGTTCAGCGTCTTAACCACTTGAGCCACCGCAGCTCCACTTTTGAGGGGCACTTAAAACAAACAAACAAAATCCATTAAGCATCAGTCTCACTTTTACAGCTTCCCTTCTGTAAGTATAAAAAGCGTGCTTACAGTTGGCATTCATTACTGGAATTTAAAAAAAAAACCGTATTCCAGACAAAGAGGTTCAGTGTTTTCAAGCCCTGACCTAGATGGGTCAGGCTAGATCCATCTCGTCAGATCCCAGAAGCTAAGCAGGGTCGGCCCCGGTTGGTACTTGGATGGGAGACCACCGAGGAAGTCCATGGTCGCTACGCAGAGGCAGGCGAGGGCAGATCACCTCTGTTTGTCTGTTGCCTTTAACTAGATGGCCCAGGCTGGCCTTGTCTCCTCGGATCTCGGAAGCTAAGCAGGGTCGGCCCTGGTTATTGGTACTTGGATGGCTGTGCAGAGGTAGGCAACAGCAACCCCCCTCTGAACGTCTCTTGCCGTGAAAAACCTACGGGGTTGCAGTACGTCAGCTGTGACTCAATGGTACTTTCCACTCTCACCATTAAAAAAAAAAAAAAGAATTAGAGTTAGGAGATTTGGTGGCTCAAGTGGTTAAGACGCTGAACTGCAGGCTGTGGAAGGCCGGTAGTTCAGCAGTTCGAGACCTGAGTGTGCCTCATGACGGAGTGAGCTCCCGTCTCTAGTTCCAGCTCCCGCCAACCTAGCAGTTCGAAAGCAAGGAATTGCAAGTAGATAAACAGGTACCACTTGGGTGGGAAGGTAACAGCGTTCCGTGCGCCTTGGTGTTTAGTCATGCCGGCCACATGACCACGAAAATGTCTTCGGACAGCGCTGGCCCTTCGGCTTGGAAACGGAGATGAGCACTCCAACCCTAGAGTCAGATTCGACTGGCTTTCGAGCAAGGGAAACCTTTACCTTTACCTCCCTTTGAGATGTGCAGTAACTTCAGGACACCTGGGGACTGATGCTTTTATCTGGGCAGATGAGCGAGGAGTACGGGCCGGTGTTCACAGTCTACCTGGGATTTCGGCGCGTCGTGGTCCTGTGCAGCTACAAGGTGGTGAAGGAGGCCCTGGTGGAGCAGGCGGAGGAGTTCAGTGGGCGCGCGCAGCTGCCGGCCTTCTCCAAGGATTTCAAGGAACACGGTGAGGGACGTCTGTAGCCCGGGGCCCCAGATATCTCTAGAGGAAGGAGGGGAGGCTTTTCAGGAACAGAAGAAGACGGATAGTAGTAGTAACTGATGTAGGAATGAACTGAAGATTACGGAATGTATCAAGGTTAATTATAAGTTTTGGGGAAAGTTGTATGTGGACCCAATAAACGGGTAAGACAGGGGCATAAGAAAAGAGGAAACGAGATTAAAAAGGATTGGGGTGATGAAATGGCAACCTCAGGAGGTTTTCTTTTTTGTTGTTGTTGTTTGGTTATTACTGGCGTTAAAAAGCAGAAAATGTGTATATCAACACGATGGGTAATGATTTGTGTGTATGTAGATTGGATATACTCAATTAAAAATATTATATCAAGAAGGAAGGTGGGTTGACTTCTTCAAGGTCTCTCTGCCTTCTGTGCCTGGCCGGCTCCCTGTTATGAAGGTTTCTTTAGATGTGATGCGCAAGAAAGAGGTTTTTAAGAGATGCTCGTTCGTTTTTGATCTAGGCGCTCTATTGAACAATAGCTTGGAAACATTCTGTGCAGAAAATACAGGATAACATTTCAGATGTGTGATGAATGAGCCCCAAATCCAGAAAAAATCTGTAAGGACTCCCAAGTGCCACGCACATGATCACGTATGAAGCTGCCTTGTACAACACCGGACGATTAGTCCATCGAGGTCTGTTTTGTCTACTGACCTACTTAAAGAAAGGAATCGTGTCCCCCCCTCAACTGCCTCTTCTCCAGCCTGAACCTTCCCAAGTCCCTCAGCCTTTCCTCGCAGGGCTTGGCCTCCAGGCCCCCTATCACCCTCGCCGCTCCCCTCTGCACCCGCTCCATTCTGTCCACATCCTTTTTGAAGGGAGGCCTCCAGAACTGCACACAAGACTCCAGGTGTGGCTTGACCAATGAGGTGTACAGGGTGACTGTGACATATTGCAATTCGGGTGTTATTCCTCTGTTGATACACCCCAAGACCACATTTGCCCTTTTTGCCACTGCATCACACTGACTGCTCATATTTAGTTTACAGCTCACACGTACCCCAAGATCTTGCTCACACACACCCTCCCTTCTTTCAACTATCATTCTCCAGCAGGGCTCCTGTCCATGGACAGAGAGCTGTCACAATAATTGAAACATTGGGGTGAATTCTTGAGTGCAGAATGTTTTTCCACACAAATAAATGCCAGAATTTAAAGGATACTGTTTAACTATAGCATGGGCTTTGTGGTTATGATATAAAGGTCAGAAGAATTATCCCCTGTAAACTGGAAGGAGGGAAGATGTCCCCTCTGCTGGACACATTCTGGGTTTCTCTTAGAGCCTTCTGGAATCTCATGAGCTGACAATGTTGATTGTAGAATGATTGACAATTGAGACGTCTTTGGGAGACTGCTGCTCTCCCTTGAGATCCCACAACTGAAGATGATGTGGATTCTCCTTACCAGGGGTTGTATTTTCAAATGGGGACCGCTGGAAACACCTCCGTCGCTTCTCTCTCCACACACTGAGGAATTTCGGGATGGGAAAACGATCTGTCGAGGAGCAGATCCGGACAGAGGCCCAGTTCCTAGTTCAGGAGCTCTGTAAAACTGAAGGTATGTGGTAGGGGGGGAAGAATTAGAAGGCAATCCACAGCAGCTGCATTCAGGGGGGCAGCAGGGCAGACTCCTAGGAAAGTGGAGAGCCAGTTTGGTGTCGTGGTTAAATGTGCGGACTCTACTCTGGGAGAACCGGGTTTGATTCCCCACTCCTCCACTCGCAGCTGCTGGATGACCTTGGGCAAGCCATAGTTCTGTCAGAGCTGTTCTCTCAAGGGCAGTTCTGGAAAGAGCTCTCTCAGCCCCACCTACCTCACAGGGTGTCTGTTGTGGGGAGGGGAAGGGAAAGGAGTTTGTAAGCCGCACTGAGACTCCGAGTGAAGGGCAGGGTATAAATCCAATCTCCTCCCCCTCCCCCTCCTCCTCCTCGGACTGCACTGTTGGGACATATCTGCTCCACAGACAGAAGCTGTCTAAGTGTTCATTCTGTGTCAACAGGGGAATGTGGTTTGGGGAGAGGAGCTAGCAGAGAATGCTCAGCGCTGGGACAAAACTACAGTTCCCAGGATTCCTTTGGGGGAAGCCATGACACTTGTTGTTGTTAGCCATTCAGTTGTGTCCGACTCCTGGCGATTCTATGGGCCAGCTCTCTCCACATTTCCCAATCTTGTCCTATTTCTTTGAGTCGTTCCACGCTCAGGCTGGTGTCGGCTTTTATGACGTCTAGGCCACCCTGTTCTTTGGCGTCCCGGTTTCCTTTTGCCGCCCACCGATCCAAGCAGAATTGCTTTTTCTAGTGAGTTCTTCCACATGACATGGCCGTGACACTTAGGGTGGGATGTAGTGGTAGCAGTTTGTAGAGTGGTACATGTCTTTCCTTTTGCGGACATGGCTTCTTTCTCTCCCCACTAGAGAGGCCCTTCGACCCAGTCTTCATCATTAGCCGTGCCGTATCCAACGTCATCTGCTCTGTTGTTTTTGGGGATCGCTTCGAATACGACGATGAGAAGTTCCTTGTACTGAACAGGCTGATAACAGAGCGCGTTGCCAGTTCACCCATGGCTCAGGTGAGGCCGGTGGGACAGCCCCCCAAATGAGACCCCACATTTCCCTGCTACTAAGCCACGCAAGAGTCACCAACAGGGGTATTGGGATATTTGGTCAATATAGCAGAGTTTGTCCAATCACAGAAGCGTGCTATTGAGTGCAGTAAATAAATCTCCCGAGAAGTATATTGCAAAAAAAGGTACGTTTGTATTGATTCAAGTAGATCCCGTTCACATTCAGGTTGTAGTCGAAAGGATAGAGAGAGAGGCCTAATCCAAAGAGTCCTTTTCCCTATCCTAAATGGCCAGCTTGTCCGGCATCGTGTGTCTAGGAGAATGAGGGCACTGTATCCACAGGAGAGACTCTGCAGAGACATGTGTTTCCATGGAAGGCCATGAGGAGAGAGGGAGAGGATAAAGCGAGAAAGGAGGGGGGGGGGTCAGAAGGCAGCTCCTGGGTTAAGACAAAGAGAGGCATCCCATTCAAGGAGAAAATACCTCTACAACCTTACAGTGATGTAGCGCCCCCCCCCCCATGTCCAGGCATGTTGACTTGCTCACTCCAACACAGAAATGCTTGGCGAATTCCTGTTTAGCTACTGCGACACAGATTCCACAGCCACAACTGGCCAGAGCTCTCTCCCCCTCCTACATCCATGATGCTGGCCTCTGGGTCAATAGCTCAGGACGACGCGGGCGGGTAGGGAGGATGGAGAGGGACTTCTGTGTCCTGTGTTTTCGAGCTCTTATCTGCCCTCTTCCTCCCAAGCAAAGCAGTTCAGGATGGTGCAGAGGGGTGGAGAAGAAAGAACTGAGAATCAGAAGGCTGGGTTTGGCCCCAAAACTACCAGCTGGACTGTGCTTTCCTTAGCAGACTCCAAACTAGCTTAATCTGCGCGCCCAACTCAGGAATTGTGAATAGGAGCGATTGGCCATGTTCTCTTTTTTGGAAGTTCCAGATGCGATGTCCCCTGTCTTAGACCTCCAGACTGAGCGGCAGGAGAGACAGAATAGCTAGATAGGCACACTCACCTTTCTTCCTGCCTTTACTCTTCAGCCACTGTTCCCTTCCCTTTGAAATGCAGATGGTGCTCTCAGGGACCAACTTCCCCTTCCTTCCATTATGTCACTCACATGCTGATGAAGACAAGCTCTCTCCCCGCATGCACCAATGAGAGAGACACATGCAGTCCTCTCTTGGCACCATGAAGCAGATGGGCCTCTCGCCATCTGCTTCCACCCTTTAGCTAGTAAGTTAGTACTCTATCATGTCCCTACCAGTTTGGTAGAGCCAGTTTGGTGTAGTGGTTAAGTGCACGGACTCTAATATTGGAGAACCGGGTTTCATTCCCCACTCCTTTACATGCCCCTGGCTGGATGACCTTGGGCAAGCCATAGTTCTGATAAGAGCTGTCCTTGAAAAAGAGCAGTTTCTGTCAGAGCTCCCTCAGCCCCACCTCCCTCACAGGGTGTCTGCTGTGGGGAGGGGAAGGGAGAGGAGTTTGTAAGCTGCTCTGAGACTCCTTTGGGTAGTGAAGGGCGGGGTATAAATCCAATCTCCTCCTCCTCCTCCTCTTCTTCTTCTCTACCCTTTCCTATACAAAGTGTACTTCTCAAATAAAGAGAGGAGTATTTCTCTTCTAAACTTGCAATGTGGCTCTGTGCAGCTCTGTAAGCTGAATAACCTGGTAAAGTGACGCTCCCGCGTTTGCAGCTTTGTTTAAGCACTTTACTAACTAATGGTGACTGGACTAACCACACCAGTTAACCTCAATACTCTTGGTTCAGTAGGTTGTCAGGGCTCAATCACTCCGTGGGGCAGGTTTGGAACTTTCTGGGATCACTCAGCAAAGAAACCCTAATGCACCAACACCACCCCCTTCCATTCCCCTCTACCTTGCAGCTGTACAACATGTTCCCAGAGATCATGGAGAAAATCCCTGGACCGCACCACAGGGGCAGCAAATGTTCCCAGGAGATCATCAGCTTCATTCTGGAAAGAATCGAGATGCGGAAGGCCTTGCTGGACCCCTGCATGCCCCAGAATTACATCGACTGCTTTTTAGTGAAGATGGAGCAGGTAATTCATTGACATGCCGGGGACTGAACCTGAGACCTGCATACAAAGCAGAGGTTCTTCCACTGAGCCACGGCCCCTCTCGCCTCCTTCCTCGTGTAACTCTTACAGGAAAAACAGAACCCAGGGACGGAATTTTGCCTGGAGAATTTGGTGATGACCACATTCAATTTATTCTTTGCTGGAACGGAGACCATCAGCACCACCCTGAGATACGGGTTCCTCATCATGTTAAAACATCCACACATTCAAGGTAAAGGGAAGAAGCGCCCCCCCCGGGGGGGAAACAACACTGGCTCAGGGGGCAGAGCACCTTCTTGGAATGCAGAGCAGCCTAGATTCAGTCCCAGGTTCTCCTGATAACAAGATCTCCACGCCTGAGAGGAGAGAATGGAGAGTCTCAGTTGACTTCCCAGTGGGGCCGGCTCGCCCGCTAGGCGAACTAGGTCTTCGCCCAGAGCGCGAGCCGGCTGTTGGGGCGCGGGAGGAGAGGCAGGGGCGCTGCCGGCAGCCTCTGGTCCCCGGCAGCCCAGCCGGGGCAAGAAGAGCGGGGAGAGGGGAAGAGGGCCAAGGGGAAGTTCCCACAATGAGAAGAGATACCTTTACACATTTATCTGCTATTTTGGCATATTTATTGCTTTACAGCTATTGACCTTATAACCTTAGCTTGTCATTTAGTTTTGTCTTTGCATACCTAAAACGTCTTCATCATGTTACATGTTAAATTGCTGTTCAGCCTCTTGTCTATAAGTCTGAACCTTATCTACCATTCCAATGTATTTGAAAAAGTGTGCATGCACACAAACGCACATACATTGCACATACACAAACATTGCACATACATTGCACATGCACACAAACGCACATACAACAAAGACCCTTTGTTGGTCTTAAAGGTGCCTTAGGTAAAGGTAAAGGTTCCCTTGCTCGAAAGCCAGTCGAATCCGACTCTAGGGTTGCGGCGCTCATCTCAGTTTCAAAGCCGAAGAGCCAGCGTTGTCCAAAGATGTTTCCGTGGTCATGTGGCCGGCATGACTAAACACCGAGGTGCACGGAACGCTGTTACCTTCCCACCGAAGTGGTACCTATTTATCTACTTGCAATTTCTTGCTTTCGAACTGCTAGGTTGGCAGGAGCTGGAACTAGAGACGGGAGCTCACTCCATCATGTGGCACCTGGGTCTCGAACTGCTGAACTACTGACCTTCCACAGCCTGCAGTTCAGCGTCTTAACCACTTGAGCCACCACAGCCTTACTGTGGTGCCTTACTGGACTCTAATTTTGTTCTGGTACCAAGTGTTAGGAATGACCTTTCCCTGAGATGGACTAATGGTGTTGCCTAGTAGAATGCAGTCTGGGATTCTTGTGCCTCACTAGAAACATCAGTTCCATTTAAAGGGCTTCTGCGTTCCCATGGTTTATAGGTTCGGTTGACGGCACATTGCAACCCCAACTTTAGTCAAGGGCAATGCTCCCTCTAAGCTGTGGAGTCTTGTGAGCAAAAATTCTACTTTGTGGGCTACTGGCATTAAAGTTGTGAGCGAGCGATTTGGCTGCTGCATAAATTAATTCATTCTGGAGCCCTCCTTCCCGAGCTAAGACAAAAATGTGTGAGCCGGAGGCTAGAAAACCGTGAGCTAACTCACACTAACTCAGCTTAGAGGGAGCGCTGGTCAAGGGTGGAAGGAACTCCTTCAGCCGGCCCATGCTGACTTATCCATGCAGCAGATTCCCTAGTGTGGAAAGCAGAAACTCCGTCCTTCCAGAAACTGCATTCTGCCATTCGGAGGTGCCCCCTGGTGGCGTTGCCCTCCTGGAGAATAAAAGTTCCTTATGTCTTGTCAGTGAGAATTAGTTGTTTTTTGAGAAGTGGCACACGTAGTTGGATGGGATGTGTGTGCTCGTGTGCCGGTGTGGGGGGTGGGGGTTAAAGCAAAGAGTTTCCAAATGGCCCAGTCTTTCAGAAGCTAAAACACAGATCCCAAACATAAAAGGTATTTTGTGAAGAAGAAGAGGAAGAGGAGGAGGAGGAGGAGGATTTATACCCCGCCCGTCACTACCCAAAGGAGTCTCAGAGCGGCTGACAAACTCCTTTCCCTTCCCCTCCCCACAACACCCTGTGAGGCAGGTGGGGCTGAGAGAGCTCTTTCCAGAACTGTCCTTGAGAGAACAGCTCTGACAGAACTATGGCTTGCCCAAGGTCATCCAGCAGCTGCAAGTGGAGGAGGAGTGGGGAATCAAACCCGGTTCTCCTAGGTTAGAGTCCGCGCACTGGTCCCAAGAGAAAGGGTGCTGATGTCTGCACTTAACCACGACACCAAACTGGTCCCAAGCTAATGCCCGGGACGCCCATTCCATGTTCTCTCGATCTAGAGTATGTACCTCCCCCTTTTTAATCGCTGCCACCTGTTCCCTCAGACAAGATCCACAAGGAAATTGACCGCGTGATCGGGCGGGATCGAGCGCCGGCCGGCGAGGACAGAAGCAAAATGCCTTACATGGAGGCCGTCCTGCACGAGATCCAGCGGTTCAGTGACATCCTCCCCATGAGCCTTCCCCACGCCGTCACCCGCAACACCCACTTCAGGGGCTACGTCATCCCTAAGGTGAGACTCCCCCTCCAGAACAGAGAGGCCAGAATCCAGCTGCTTCGTCTCCACAGGGCTCTCTGGATTTCACTTGGGGGGAGGTGGGAATTCGTGCTGGATTCTGGCCCGTAGCTAACATGGGGCCTATGGGGCATGGCCCCCTAGTTTTTCTTCTGGGCCCCCTCCCTCTTGGGCTACCCTTAAAGTGCTCCAACTTACCACCTGCATGGTACTTTCATTTAATTAGCTGGCAGGCCCCCTGAGGCCCCCTCCCAAAAAAATTCCCTAGCTACGGGGCTGGCTGGATTCCTCTCCCCCTCATCTCCAGACTTAGTGGGTGGCCTGGGCAGGTCCTTAATTCTCTGGGCTCAGCCAGGTGGCAATTGGAGAGCCAGAAGCAACTTGCCCTGACCCGAATGGCCCAGTCTAGTCCAATCTTGTCAGTTCTTGGAGGCTAAGTAAGGTCAACCCTGGTTAGTATTTGGATGGGAGACCACCAAGGAAGCCCAGGGTTGCTCTACACAGGCAGGCAAGGGCAAACCACCTCTGGACATCTCTTGTCTTGAACTGGACGGCCTAGTCTAGTCCGATCTCGTCAGTTCTTGGAAGCTAAGCAGGGTCAGTCCTGGTTAGCATTTGGGTGGGAGACCACCAAGGACGTCCAGGGTTGCTACGCAGAGGCAGGCAAGAGCAAAACCACCTCTGCCTTGATAACCCTGCAGGGTCACCATAAACCAGCTGCGACATGACAGCTGTTTCCATCACCACTGAAGCAGGTTATTCATTACAAATCCTAAATAAATATTTACTCCGAAGAAGCTCAGTTCACAGAGACGCTCTGTTCATAGGTGACCGTTTAACAACTTCCAACCTTTGGGGGCTAATGGACAGCCTCTTTGTGCTTCTCTCGGTCCCCTCCCACGGCCCACTCCTGCTTTGCCTTCTCCAGGGAACTTACGTCTACCCGCTGCTCACCACCGTGCACTTTGACCCCGAGCAGCACTCCAACCCCTACGAGTTTGACCCCGGGAGATTCCTGGACGCCAGAGGCTGCTTTCAGAAGGCGGATGCGTTCATGCCTTTCTCGGCAGGTAAGGAGGGGGACTTCTGCTCCCCAAAAGGCAGGCCAGCAGGAGGGTGCAGGAGTTGTCTCTCTCCTCTGCTTCGTTTCCTCAGCTGTGCACACAAAACTGTGCCCTCTCCTTCCAGTTAAAAAGCCCGTGGTTGCCTAGATCCCTGGCCGGTTGCTCTCCTCTCCTGTATATCACACCCTACAGGTGGTGAGTAGATGGGCCAAGGCCAGTGACCAGGCCCATCAGCCAGTCTATCAACCCATCCATCAGTTGTCCTGATTGGCTGCTTTTCCCCCAGGGAAGCGCGTATGCCTGGGCGAAGGGCTGGCCCGCATGGAGCTGTTCCTCTTCTTCACTGCTATCCTGCAGGCCTTCACCCTCACATCGCCCTTGCCATCTGAGCAGATCAGTCTTGAGCCTATTGTGAGTGACCTCGGCAAGGTGCCTCCTCTGTATCAGCTTTCAATGCTCCATCGCTGATTTTGGTCTTTCTGGCAAATGTTTGGCTGTAGGAATACTGTTCATCTCTCTATCTACAGAGTATGGCATGTCTATGCTTAAAAGGTCTCATGGATAAATGCTTTTCCTGCATTCTTCAACCCCCCATATCCACGGGAGACTGTCGTTCGCTCCAAGTATAGAGCTGTCTAGCTTTAGATTCTTCGCAACTCATTTTCTCAGTGCTCCTCTGGATACATACAAGTGGGTTGTGAAATCAGGACTTTGCTTTGCTTTAGGACAAGTCTAGGTCCTTGTTTAGGAATGGGCACGAACCGGGAAAAGGCGGTTCGTGTCCAAACCATAAACCAAACCAGGAGGACTTGGAATCCCTTTAAACCCCTGCTTTCTGCTCTGTCCACGAACTGCAATGAACTGTGTTAAACCCTGCTTTCTGCTCTATCCACGAACCACAATGAACTGTTAAAAGTTTCTGAAAGTTCGTGATGGTAGACCCGTCACGAACTTCAGTTCGCGAACCACAAACAGGGTAAAATTCGTGATGAATTTTGCTTCCTGGCTCAGTTTGTGCCCATCCCTATTCTTGTTAAGACATTTCCTGCTAAGGTGGCAATGTTACCGCCGCTATTTTTAAATGTCAAGCTATGCTATTTAAAATAGAGCCTGCTGAGATGTATTTGTGGCAATAATTGTTAGCTACGTCTAGTTGCAGTTAGCAATGGTGCAAATTAAATGTTCAAGATACAAAATTATATGAACACACAAATCATTTAGTCTGTTTAAAGGAATGGCTCCTCTGTCCTGGAAAACTGCCTGCTTGGATCACGGGGCTGAGCTGTGGAATTGGAGTTCGGAACTGGAGCAGCTGCCTCGTGAGTGTTATGTGGCCAAACCTCTCTTGAAGATCTGAGACTGTGGTACAGTCCCACAAATTTCTAATGGTACTAAAAATATGTGTCCACATGACCACGGAAACGTCTTCGGACAGCGCTGTCTCTTCGGCTTGGAAATGGAGATGAGCACCGCCCTCTAGAGTCGGATCCGACTGGCATTCGAGCAAGGGAAACCTTTACCTTATTTAACTTTAGCAGACATTTAGGTACAGTTAAATTAAGGGAGGAAGGAATCGAGCCTCCGTTTGGAGGTTTTCAAGCAGAGGCTAGATGGCTGATTGTGTGAGCTTAGGCAGATCACGAGACGGAGGGCAGGAAGGGTTGCCTCAGTGCTGAGTTCTTGTGGCCCTTTCTTACACGTCCAGGGAAACGCTGATTGCCATGCTGGGGTCAGGAAGAAATTTTTCTCCGGGCCAGTTTGGCTGGAGATCCTGGAGGTTTTTTGTCATCTTCTGGGCATGGAACAGGGGTCACTGGGGGTGTGGAGGGGGAGGTATTTGTGAATTTCCTGCATTGTGCAGGGGTTGGACTAGATGACCATGGAGGGCCCTTCCAATGGTATGCTTCTATGAATCTAATCTGAACTGCTAGAAAACCAATGGATCTCCTGATGGTGAAGTGATATGTGAAAAATGGAAGGAAAGAATGACAGAAGTTACTATGGCTGACAGAAGAAGTCACTATGGTCACATCATACGAAGACAAGACTCAC